AGGAACTGGAAATGCAATGGCTAGTTCCCTGGGACTCACGTCATATCCATCATCCTGGTTGAAAGAGCTGCTGCGAGGAAGACCGAGGCCTTTACCGACCTTCGGTGCCAAGTTTTCCCCCGGCGCGCAATATGTCACTGAGGAAGGTCGTGCTCGGTCTAGTATAAGTTCCAACCTCAAAACTAAGTATGAAGTTCCGAAGGTATATGGTGCGGTTGTTGCAAGCTGGGGCATACACGCCGCATTGGTTGCCGATAGTGATACCACTGAGTACCGCAAATTCGGTGCTGATAGGTTTAAATTGGTTGCGGAGGAACTTCTCTTCCCTCCGAGCGGTGCCGAGAGCCATAGATATGCTGGTACAATTAGTCTCACCAGATGGGATAATCAGACTAACAGCGAATGTGCGGAGACCATGGAGATCAAAGAACACATGTATGTGCTGGTAACGATGGTCCCTAGACTTGAAAGAGAGTTCGTGATCTCACCCGAGTCTATTGCACTGGACGGTCGCTTGAGAATAATCCACTTTGGCCCGGTACCTTCCGAAAAAGCTATGCAGTTGATGGCCTCCGCATATCAGGGAGGTCAGCATGTGTTTGATAGGAGTGTTTTCTACTCGGAGATTGAGACACTTAAGATTGTATTCCGGGAGACGGATGAGAGGTGGAGGCGGGTGTGTATTGACGGCAGAATCATTGCAGTCGAGTGTGATGGTTGGATGGAGATATACAAGGAGCCAGAATGTCTATTAACCATCCTGACATCCGTTGGGGTTTAATATTACTGACTATTCAGCATATATATGTTTGCACGAGAACTTCCTCCCCTCTCGCCCCTTTATCATTAGACAGCAATTCAAACATCTCTTGCCTTGAATAATATACTTTACCTTCCCTGTCTTTCCACTGATTCTGTCTTGCAGGCATTTGATCTAGATTTGTTATATCTATTGATTAACTAAGTAATAAAATAGGCTCGGTTCAGTCTTGTACTATGACTACTCTAGATAACTAGCACACTGGTTGTACTACATGTGCAGAATATATACTTGGATTCTTGCCTCATCTGGTGCCAGATTGAACATTCTTAGGATGTTGTGGTCGATGAGTGGATCAAACTGACCATACATAACATGTGTGGGCTAAGTTCTAATTGTACGCAGAATTGATTTATTAGGTATCCTTTGAGTGTATCTTTGTCCCCACTGAATACAATTGATATACCTTCAGAGTGTAAATTATCTACGGAGTATAGTCCAGCCAATTTCAAGCCGAAAATACCTCTCCGTACGGAGTAGTACTGGTACTAATACGGAGGAGATACTTTCTTTGTACCAGGGTTTCCTCGTCATGATTGGCTCCTGGCAGTATGGTAAGTGGGGGCAACCTCGAATAAGACGCATGTACTCCGTACTATTGTACTAACTGAGTACTTGCTAAGTTCCTACTTACAGATAACCTCTGTACGAAGTACCATGCAGTCTTCCCTATGATTATCCTCGCTCGCTATCAACAATTGAGCAGACCTTTGATATAACCTCCAACGCTAGACGCGCTGCCAGTATCACTTACTGAAGACCATAGACTTTCATGCATGTGACCCAGAAAACCTCCACAACCGACAGCCATCTTGACCAGTCCTATAATGGGAGCAGCTGCGTCTGGTATCGATGCTTATCAGCCCTCGAACTTATCACGCTTCACAGATACCAGATCGAGGACAACAGCTCCACAGCAGTGAGGATAACCCGAGAGTTCATTCGCTTTTCGGGTGGAGTACTAGTTCTATGAATGAAAGGCGAGCCGCCAAAATGCTATTGATTCACCAGACGGGCAGTGTGCGTGTGGGTGAGGTTGTCAGGTCTGTTGCCATCACTATGATAGCCTTGGCCAAGCCCTTCCTGTTCGCAATACTGACCTTGACCTTGCTGTCAACAGGTACACAGTAACGTACACACCGGCAGCCGACACCGCCAGTCCCATCCCAGGGGAATTATTTGTAAAGGTCAAGAATACATCTGCAATTCCTCTCCGAGCTGCCTATCTTCATGGCCCATATACCCTCTATACGTCTTGCTATCCATCCACATTCGATCCAAACGTCAAAATCGATCAGCAAGCCACCGAAGGCATTCCGCAGTTTGAACCTTATCTCAAAGCTGGGGGCAGTTGGAGTGCCGTCATCACCGTGCCCCGGCGTCTTCGTCAAAAACCAGAGGTCGCTTCTACCGAGCCCCGAAGTCACCAGAAAGTAACGTGGATCATAGAGATATTATCCCAAGTGATATTTTCGAGCACTGCATCCGTCAACTTTGAGCTTTTGGTAGGCCGCGACCAAAAATCAGTGGAGCTGTCTTCGTCCGGTGCAGCATCAACCACTGGGCTTCAAGCAGCTCAACTAAGTGACCACTGGTTACCCAATTCAAAAGGCAAGCAAGTGTTTGCTACAAATGGAGTGTATTCCAGAGCTGTAACATTGCAGATAGATGATACTGCGAGCCTCTGGAACACGCCTGCCTTTCCTTCGTCCGACAAAAGCTGTAGGGCGGAAAAGGATAAGGGACTAAACGAAGCCAGTCCAACAAGCAATGCCGAAACATCGACGAGATCTAGCGAGCCAATTGATCAGTCGCAGAACAACAGGTGTAGAAAGAAAATACATCTTGTGGTTCTGACTCACGGCCTACATAGCAACCTTGGTGCGGACATGCTTTATCTCAAGGAGAGCATTGACACTGCAGCCAGAAAAGCTAAGGAACAGGCCTATAATGCTCGTCGGAAACATAGAAGCGAACAGAGAAGCAACGATGATGATGATGATGATGACGACGATGAGCAAGTCGTTGTTAGAGGATTTCCCGGAAATGCAGTCCGTACGGAACGCGGGATTCAGTATCTTGGCAAGCGTCTTGCCAAGTATGTCTTGCTAATGACACACCCAGACCAGCCTTGCAATCCTTGTCACAATGCAAAAGCCAAAACCCTCCCGAAATCTTTCGCCGTCTGGAGGAACACGGCGGGGGAGTCCCCTAAGGACCATACAGCTTCTGTACCAGGGTCAACTGGAGGGGGCCATACCTATCGAGTCACTAGTATCAGCTTTATCGGCCATTCTCTCGGCGGTCTCATTCAGACATATGCCATTGCATATATCCAGAAACATTCTCCTGAATTCTTTGATGTGGTTAGGCCCGTTAACTTCATCGCCTTAGCGACTCCTTTTCTCGGCTTGAGCAATGAAAACCCTATGTACATCCGCTTTGCCTTAGACTTAGGTCTGGTTGGTCGAACGGGCCAGGACCTAGGACTCAGCTGGACAGCTCCTCGAGTGAGAGGTGGCTGGGAAGCTATAATTGGTGGGAAAGGCAATTCCGCCAAATCACAGGGTCAACCAGATGCCGGATCAAAACCTTTGTTGAGAATCCTTCCCTGTGGTCCTGCACATGAAGTTCTCGCCAAATTTCAACACCGTACAGTCTACTCCAATGTAGTCAATGATGGGATTGTACCTTTGAGGACTTCTTGTCTCCTGTTTCTTGACTGGAGAGGACTAGAACGAGTTGAAAAGGCAAGGAGAGAAAATGGGATAGTTGGCACAATGGCTGAATGGGGGTGGGCCGAATTGACCGGCGCAAATTCAAAGTCGCCACGGACGGCTCGTTCTGGTACAGAATCGGAATGGAAAGATACCGATGAGGAAATCAACAAAGCCCATAAACACATACCGACAACGCAGATATCTTCGCCTAGTGTTACGGCACCTGCCAGTACCCCAATACCTCGTCAGCCATCGGATCAATCCCAACATTCAATTTGGCCTAATACGACGATAGATGCAGCTCCAATTGACAACCAACCTGTAACCTACGGCCCCTTGAGCAATCTTTTTACTATATTCCGGCCAAAAGAAGCTGTTAAAATATCCTCTGGGCACAAGCAATCTAAGATGCTTAAACGTAGCCAGACACTTGGCGCATCCAGTGGTGTTATACGGGGGCCGCCGTCTCCTTGTGCCCCTACCCATGAATCATTTGTCGATAGCCAACTGTCTGACGACCATGGGCTTTATGCGCCACCAAAGACTACTCTTTTTGAGTCAGCAAGTGATCTTCTCATGCCACCCCTTCCTCCTATTGAATTTATAATTGATCCTACTTCAAGACCTCGGACTATTTTCCATGACCGGATCTATAACCCTGAGGACATACCTCCTCCCTTAACTCCCAAGAGACGAACCTTAACCTTTGGATCTTCTCAAAGTAAGGCCTCGAAAATAGGGCCATTTTCATCGGATGAATCTACGCATCATGACTTACATGAGAGCGAGAGTGGGCTCAAAGTCGAAGAGAAGATCGCCAGGGCTTATCATCGAGACTTAACGTGGCGAAAAGTGCTCGTTCGTCTTGAACCAGATGCACACAACAATATCATCGTTCGACGAATGTTCACGAACGCGTATGGTTGGCCCGTGGTAAAGCACCTTGTTGATACTCACTTTGGGTATACATCTGCGGCCCAATCTGAAGATGACTCCGCGAAAAGAGTAGAAAGGGCAAAGCCACTCGCAGTCCCCACAAATAGCTTAGGTGAGGAAGTGCAAGGACAGGAGGATCCCCCTAGAGATGATTCGACTTGCGCACGAGAGCTCCCAGGCAGTCGAATCGCCGGGGTTGGTTCTTCTGACCAAACTAGGCCCAGCGTATCTCAATTCAAAGAAGTTGGCTAGTTTCTCCGTGCAAGTAGAGGTTTATGTCTTGGATCATGCCTAGTTTATTATTTCACTGCTCTATTTCTTGTGATTTCTCTCAAGCTCTGTTCATTATATGTACATACATAGACACAACGGGGCATCCTCCCGTGTATATTCGTTGGTGGATAGTAATATCTCATTGGTTTCTCAACCCCCATCCTAGGAAACTTTCCCCTTTCTCCCTCACACCTTGTCTCCTGCCCTCTTCCTGTCCCTTTTTTTTTTTTTTTTTTTTTTTTTTTTTTTTACACGAGAAGGCCTAATCTTTGACCAGCCGTATTGCTGGTAGGCTTGTGTCAGTACGATGGATACGTCAATACTCAAGCCTCCCTTGAATATTTCCCCAGAATTCCTCAACAAGCTCCCTTTGACCAATCTGGTTTGGAGAAGCTCTGACAGCAAGGTAGACTCTTCCGTCTATGGCAGCCTGCCACCCGCCAGGATTACCGTCAACCATTATGCCACCGGCCTCGGTGAGGATAACCCAGCCAGCGCACACATCCCACGCCCAACAACCGCCTTCCCAGTACAAGTCAAGAGTGCCAGCGGCTACCGCACAAAGGTTGAGTGCAGCCGAACCCGTGCTACGCATCGAACGAACCATTGCACCGCCCTCATCTTTAGATTGGCCGAGCTTCTCCAAGGTTCGTACCTTTGTTTCCCAATTCCTCCCCTTTCTATCGGATCCCCATTCAACACCGATGAGAGAGTTCTGCAGGCCTTGTAGTGGCTCGAGGTCTATTCCCTTGAGTGGAAGTTTGGCACTGCGGTTTAGGAACGCCCCTTGGCCACTAATGGCAGAATAAAGGGTCTTATCGAATGGGTTGTATACGATACCAACCACGGGAACCCGGTCAACGGCGAACCCAAGAGATACACATGCATGGGGGAAGCCGTGCACAAAATTAATTGTCCCGTCGATGGGGTCAATCACAAAAGTGGGGGCAGTAGTCAAGGGATGACCTGGGTCATATGTCTCTTCTCCATGGAACCTAGCGATAGAGTAAGGAACGAATCGCTGCTGCAGGGTAATATACGATGACTTTGCGGACAATCTCATGGGAGTCTAAATGGGAAGAGGGGGTGGAAGGCATGATGATATACATACAAATAATCTGGGTACTTCTCCTTCAGCGCTGTTGATATCATTTCTTCCACCGCACGGTCATATTGAGTGACAAGGTCCGCACCTAAAGTTGTGAGTCAAGTTGGTTTACCCATCACATATTTGACCGTCCAGGTCTGTGCATACTATTCTTCTTCGATCCAATACCATCCGTAGTGGGGAGAGCACCCATGATGATCTCTCCAGCTTTGTATGCTATCTCAATAAGGGAATCATGGATATGATTCAGGTTAGGCAAGCCACTATCGGCCGTTCTTGTTTCTGGCCTCATATCTTGGAACGGAGCACTTTTGGTTGCAGACTATGTATGCAAAGTATATATGAGAAAACCAGATGGTGGGAATACCTAATTTGTGAATAATATAGATAAAGAGATTATCTCCTCTTGACTTAATTTTGCTCGTCCTGGGCAACAGTCAAACAAATACAGGTAACAGGTACAGAAGAATTAGGCAAAAGTGCTCAGATCCCAGGATGCTCCCGGAGGCGCCGTGCCGCCCACTCGTATTTCATCTAGTGTACTGATGTGTGCGTGTGGGGATCCTATGTATGTACATAGAACGGATTAAAGTGAAGGACAGAAGCTTACTTGGTGTAATTAAGATGGAGCACTGATCATCTAATACGTGTTCCATTCAAAGTTACGTACTAGCTCTTTAAGAAGAAGACTTCTTTTGGTCATTTTCTCTTTTGCCTTTCCTTTTTGTAAAAGAAATATAATTAGGGCAAGAAAAATACAACCCCGCCTTGGTGACGTCGTGAGGGGTAATTTTCTGATTTATTATAAATACCTTTATTATATAACTATATCAGAATCCAATTGGAGCTACTCCTGGAAAACCCCACAATTAATTAGCTCACGAACCAACAAAAAAAAAATAAAAAAAAAGACAGAGGGTTGATACTCTCCAAACGCTGCTTACTACTCGAAGTACTGGTCTATCTATATTTTCATTCAGGAAAATATATGTATTCATCTTAATTAAATTTACCACTGGGCTAGCTATATACCTAGGTAACCTTCAACATGCCCACCGAGTTGGAGGAGGTTCGTTTCCCTGCACCCTGCAGCAGTGCCTGGGCTCAGCTTGCCTAACGAATATCTCATTGCACTTCAGCTTGTCGAATTCCTTCATCATGGAAATACTCAAATCAGACAGATCGGTAATAGGGACCCTCTATAAACCCGATGAACCGCTTGGAGAATCGATTTCCCTCGTGCGACCATTTGCGGATGTTTTGTAATAACATATTCTAGCCTGTGAAAACCTCGTTGGTTTCTCAACTGCCCAGCCGAACTTATTCAAACGCCATCAGCTTCTGCCAGTACGAGATTTGAAGCTTTTGGTGCGAGATTACACTGTTAGTGCCCGCCCGGTCGAATCCTGGCCAGGTCGCTTACTGAATAGCCGATCGCGAAAAATGCCCTGACAATGCTCATCAACCTCTCGGCTGACCAAGAGGTGTTGGCCAACCTTGCGGATGACGATACTTTTCTTGAGACTCTCTTTACAAAGGTGACGGTGAGTACCCCGTACTCGACGCGGGACGACACATGTCCTAACCAATAAATGCGACATTAGAACATCAAGGAGCCGAATGCGGATGATGTGTCGATGCTTTTCGCCAATTTGATCAAGTCGGAGAAAATGAAGAAACTGCTAACCCTAAAACGAAGGGTTCCAGAGCCGGTGTCCACTTCGCCGAATGCAATGGATCAACTGATGGATTGTTTCGTGAAAGGTGCCGAGGGCGCCCTCAACAAAAACGCCACCTATGACTACCTGTCTTACGTGTTTGCCGACTTGTCGAAGTCTAAGGAAGGTCGGGCGTATTTTACTTCGCGCCAGGAGTATGATGGTGTGGTGCCTGTAACAAAGCTTACTGTTTTCACCGAACATCAAAGCTCGATTCGGAGAAAGGGAGTTGCATCAACAATTAAGAATGTCGCGTTTGACATCCCATTCCACCCCACCCTTTTCGCTGAAGATGAAGGCAATCTCCTCCCTTACATACTGCTGCCGCTAGCAGGCCCGGAAGAGTTTGGCGAAGAAGAGACATTGACTATGCTACCAGACCTTCAGCTGCTACCCCCAGACAAAAAGAGGGATAGCGACAACAGCATTATTGTAACACATCTGGAAACGTTACTACTGCTAACAACAACTCGGGAAGGGCGAGATAGAATGAGGGAGGTACAGGTCTATCCCATCATCCGAGAATGTCATCTGAACGTTGATGATGAGGATGTTCGAGAAGCTTGCGACAGGCTGGTTCAGGTCTTGATGCGGGACGAGGAGGGAGAAAATGGTGGACAGCCTGGAGGTACACAGCGGGAACATGATGACCAGCAGGTGGTAGAGCTCTTTTGAGTTGGTGAATACTGGTAGTTCCTTTACTTCTTTCCTTTATCAAATAAGAGCTTTTTGCTAGGAATTAATTGGCAAAGTGGAAGGCTTTCTATTTGAACGAAGGCAGTGCATGCCATCTTAACGGCATTGAACTCAATGTTAGAATAACAAAAGGAACAACTAATTCATGGCTCAGCTAAAGTAGGTCTTCAACAGAGGCGCTTTTCATTGAAAGGAAGCGTAGCAAGCAACTCAACATTGGCTGTATCCGTTTCGCATTGATTCATTTGCCCCTGAGCAGTCGAGTCCTTCTTATGGATTGCATTTGGACCATGAAATTGCAATGAGTCAAGAGTCACCCGGTAGGAAGCGCCTCTTCCTTGGCCGTCTGCAATACGCAACATTCGTCGCATCGTGTTTGCAGCGAGAGTAGCCTGTCGATGAAAATTCTCGCGCTGTGTCCGCTGCTTCTGGGCAGCTGCCGAGGGGCATATGAGTCTGTTATAAGCACGAATTTCACTTGAGAAATTCATACCACGAGTACGGAACACTTGCTGATTTTTCAATCCTGCGAATGTGGTGGTTCCACAAGGTTCCTGGTTTGAGCTATCTTCCGCTTCCGCGAGCAGGTCCTGACCTATGTGACCATTGTCTGTTCTCCATTCCCACCCGACTCCTGGAATTTCCTGAACTCTACGTATGATGATCTGAGCGCGGGAGAACTCTGCTCTGATAGTCTCCAGGCCCTTGTCTGTGACAGTTCTGCCTACATTATGGTTGTGTTCGAAGGGGTCCTCAATTGCTATGAGGAACCTGAGCCGGCGTCCGTGCTCGTCAGTCCTCGCGGTGTTCCAACCTTTCTCTAGCTTGGAAAGTATGCCTCCCTGCGTGCGAATTGAAACAATGTCTTGGACCCAGTTGAAAGAGCTTGAGGGCGTAGTTTTGCATTGGCTTCCATAGTATGCGAAAAAGCCATGAAGCAGCTCGCCGGCGGATTGTTGATTCCCATAAGCCATATTATACCAGGCTCTCCTCCTAAGTTCGGTCTCATTCTTGAGAAAATGGACATCATACTTGTTGGGACCGGTAGTGCTAGAGTGTGTAGGTGACAACCGACCCAGAAGCTGAAGATTAGGAACCAAAGGCGGATTTACGACGTTCATCAAGTAGTGGATGACCATGAGAATATAGCCATACGAACAGAGTGTTCCATGGTATGGACTATTGATTTTTCGAGCCTTGGCCCACATCTTCACGAAAATGCCGACAACACGGACCCTTTCGTCGCAGAGGGCGTAGCAACGAAGTAATTCGGTATTGTATAGTACCAGGCGCCCAGAAAAGTTGATATCACACTGAACGCCTACCGAAGATAGCGCCTCCGGATTTGTAATCTGTTTCGGAAAATGATGATTATTCTGTCCACCACTTTCCACCTTGACAGAGTTTGAGAGTCCTTGGGGAGGGGTTTCGTACAATTTGATGATTGAAACCCTGGCCTTCTGAATCATCCGAGAATCGAAGCCGGCATCAAGAAATGCCTCATACAAAATTTGAGGACACCTTGCTTCTACATCTCTTGGGAGCACTTCTCCGTGGGTGGTCATTAGTAGGTCAAGGTGAGCTCCAGGCAATGCAAAGCCATTCCGCAGACTGCCAAAGCATTTGAGGTCAATGGCGTTATCTTTAATCGTATAGCCACGCTGCTTGGAATGTCGTTCAAGCGCTTCGCGGGCGATGTTGGTCAGTAAAATCCGCAGGGTTTCCTTGCTGCGAAATTCGCTAGCTAGTGAACCGAAAGAGGGCACTCGGGCTGCCAGGGAGTTCAGATAGTTTATCTGAAGTTGAAGTCGCCTGCAAGGATCAGACTGTTGATCACCGAACCGGGTCCTAGGGGCATGTGAATAGGAATAGCTAGCTGGATTACTTGCGTGTGCAGTCTCCAGAACTGATTGGTGGTGCACAGGGTATGTTTTAGCCTTGTCATTCGTCGTGCACTCCTCAGCATGGCCCTTTGAATAGAACGCTCTTTGACGATGAGTCGAACTACTAGGGCTGACCTCAATATTGCAATGATTCGCGTAGTGGCTAGCGATTAATGGCTGCTGTTGGGATAACAGTTGCGTACTGGCATGACTTAGCATCTCAATGACATGACAAGGTAAGTGGTCCATTCCTGAGGATAGAGGAGTAGCGATAGCAGGCCCATGTGCAAGGTCGCGTCTTTTATCAGTCATAATGGGTGCAGCTGATGATTCAGAATGTTGAGGGATCTCATAGGCCATGATTGGCCGATGTTAGTGAAAGTGCAAGATGATAATTGGTAGTAGGAATGGAGAGAAGGGACTACAAGATGGAACTTTCCATCAAGTGAGCGATGCGACTGCCAATACTGACTGTCTTCTGGCGCTGGAGAAAAGGTCAACCGATAGAAGTGGGATATAAATGGAAACATGGGTGTAGATACTGTGAGAAGAATGATAGCGGGATGGCGGGAAGGAGCATGGTGTGAAAGGGAAAGAGATTCGTTCTCAGTCTTTTCGTAACTTCTTGTCCTTGTTGTTTTCGAGGAAACCTGTAACCTGCCCTTCAGACTAAGTGAAATTGATCTACAGTGAGAGGTCAAGTGAATGGAGGATGGCGGAAGTTGAACTGTTGGGCGGAGTGAGAATGATATACCAGGCATACTACAGAGTAGTACTAGTCCCGTCTTACCATACGGAGTACAGAGTATATACGTAATCCGTACTGCAGGTGGTACTGTAAATCTCACAAACGAATTGAAAGATAACTAACTAGTTAGATACTCTGTGGCTGTGCTTACCTAAGTAATCAGTCCATTTCAGTTGAACCACTCCACTCCACTCCGCTGCTACTCCGTCAATCAACATTGCCATCTTCATCTTTCCTCGACAACTCCTTTAGTACCCAAGACAATTCTGTCTTTGGTCAAATACCAAAATCGATCTCTTTCCTTGATATGTGTGCATCGTGCAAGCGGGACTTTTGCGATCTAGGTACATGTATCTCGGAAGGAGCTTCACGTGTCTGAAAGCATACCGGTAACATGGCTACACCTACGAACGACCCAAATGTGCGAACTCCGACAGGTTCAAATGGACCTCCACCCATGAGAATCCGTCGCCCCAAGGCAGCAGATCCTTTAGTACGACCAAAAAGGAAACCGGCACCCAAACCAGCTATTCCCGTCTCCGGAAATGGACCAGTCTCAAAAGCAGTTTCTTCGCGACCAGCTACTTCCAATCCGTTATCTATGCCTCATTCTGAGAGAGGAAAGCCTTCACCTTCAGGGGCTGATTTCTCCGCCAATGGTTTTAGTGGCCCACTATTATCCGAAACATATACGGACTACCCCTTAGTCACGACAAAACGCGCGTTGCGGGAAGGCTTGAAACATCATATTGCTAGATTCGCATCAAAGAAGACCGTCGATCCGCGTGACGAGTCCCAGTTCACTAGGCCTGTCAGGCTTCAACGTCGCGATCCGCGCGCCCGATCCCATGGGATAGCATTGGAGAAGAGCCAGGGCATGCAGAAAACAGCGTCTGAATCTAGTCATCATATGGATGAGGCTGAGCGTGAAGAGCTAGAGGCAAGGAAGGCTGCCCGTGAGAAGGAACGTGCCGAGAACCTGGCCCAGATAGCTCCTTCCGCTGGATCTGCCCCGAAGAGAGCGAACATGCCCAAGCAAAAAACTCAGCAGGTGTCCAAGACAGATATGACTCCCGAGGAGATGGCGAAGACGCGAATCAAGTACGAAGAGGCTTTGCCGTGGCATCTAGAAGACTTCGACAACAAAAATATATGGGTAGGGAACTATGAAGCTGCTCTGTCCGAAACCCATGCGGTATTTATACTTGAGGCTACGGGGAAAATGAGGATGATTCCTGTGGAAAAATGGTATAGATTCAATGCTAAAAATCAATTCAAAGCTTTGACTATCGAGGAAGCGGAGAAGTTCATGGCAAAGAAAGTCAAAGATCCACGGTGGTTCATGGAGAAGCAACAAGAACTAGCTCAACGAAAGGAATTGGAGCAATTCGCTAAGCAGCGGAAGGTATACGCTGGTAAACAAGGGACTCCGTCTGGAGTTGAGGGGTTGGAGGCCGATGAAATGGATTTTGAAGAAGATCGATTTGCTGATGATGAAGAGCATGATGACCTGTTCAACGAGGACGAGGAAGCAAAGGCAGCGGAGAAGAGAATCAAGCAAGACCAGTTGAAAGCCAATGTCTTTGACCTGAAAGACGAGAAAGACTACGAACAAGAGGAATTGAGAGAAAAGAAAGAGAAGGAGGCTCGTCGTGTGCTTGGAAAAAAGGTTCGAAAAGCATTACAAAAACGAGAAAAGAACTACGACTACAGTAGTGGATCTGACGTTAATCCTTATTCAGACGACGAGGTGAGAACTGCACCCTATTCCGTACGCTCGTGCTGTTACTAACAATATTTTTCATCCCATTTTAGAGCTCTGATGACAGCGAGGCTGAAAGATTGAAGGAAGAAGAACGGAAAGCTGAGGAGGAAAAGAACAAAAAGGAAGCAACGGCATCCTCCAAGGGCAACAATACGCCATCCGGCCGCCCTAAGCATACTGATCCTTTGAAGAAAGGCGCGGCAGCTGCACCGCGGAAACGGTTGGGGTCTCCCAACGTGTCAGATGCGAGTGGGACAGACACGTCTCGCAAAAAGGGTAAAAGTAAGGACCTGTCCTCTCAGCCCACACCTCAGCCAAGCTCGCGTAACATGTCTCCAGTTGCGTCATCGCAAATGCCAGTAAGTTTGCTAACAGAACCTCCCGGTCTACTCGAGAGTTAGCTAACCCCTTTGTAGCTTGGCAAGAAGCGTGTTCGAAACGCACCTCTTGGTGGTGCAGGTTCCGGGAGCGATGCCGATGGCGGCGCAGGTTCCGGCGGGGAGATGAGCGAAAGTGGTAAAACTAAAAAACTCAAGCTTAATCCTCCAGCAGTCTCTCAGAGTGGGACTCCCCAGGGATCCAGGGCAGGAAGCCCCACCCCCCTGACAGGTAAAGGCTTTTCGGGAAGCCGTGCTAGCAGCCCTGAGTCTTTCAGAGGTAAGTCTAATTTATCTTGTTTGGGAATTCCCTTTTGGCCATGTAGCATTGTTCTGATTGGGCTATATACAAAGGGCAAACTCGCGTTTCCACTCCAGTATTCGCTGGAAATCAAAGCTTCCCTACGCCCGCGGAGATTCATGCTGCTATCCCCCCCTCGGGTATACTCAGTAGCGACTTACTCAAAATATTCCGTCCCCGTATTGGTGAGTCAAAGGAGAATCACCGAAAGTTCATAGCGATTGTCAAAGATGTGGGAGTTTATGGCAAAGAAGATCGACTGCTACGACCCGGGACGCTGAAGGAGAGTTGATTGGGAAAGCCCCTGACACAGATGTTGAGTTCAA